CTCATGCTGGGAGTAAATGAAAGCAAAATGATCTGAGGGCTCCTAGACCAAAGATACCATTAAAGATTTCTGGAGAGACGAGACAGAAGGATGCCAAATTCTGACTTGGCAGACTGAAGCAACAGATGCCATTATGGCTGTACCAGTGGATGGCACCAAGCTATGAATGCTTAAAGCAGCTGAGCCTCAGGATGTTGTGATGGAGAATAAAACACCCAGGAGTGAGTCAGACAAGTCTATTGAGACAGTTTCAACACCATGCGACTTCTCTTTCTGATTTCAGTATGACTTTACTCTGTGTCTGCCCAGTGATTTCCTTCTATTAACATAACACTTGGCATCTTTTTAAGTTTGTTCACATTTAGAATGTAATACTCAATAAGTGGTGGCACACTGCCTCTCAGCCAGAAGGTGCAGGAATGCCTCCTAGTAGGGGTCACTCTGTGAAGTTTGTATGTTTTTTTTTTCCTTTCCATTCAAGTGTGTGTTTTCTGAGAGTACTCTGGTTTCCACCCACTGACCAAAAACATGCATGTTAGATTAATTGCAGATTCAAAATTGTCCCTAGTGAAAGTGTGAATAATTGTTTGTAGATATTCCAGATCAGGGGTCGGAAACCTTTACGATCAAAAAAGCCCTTTCTTCTCCTTAGGTCACTAAAAAATGTGTCAAAAGTCTCAAAACACCATCGTCATTTCTAATTTCTCCCTCAGTCAGCTCCTTAGTGTTTCTCCGGTTAGTCAGCCACTCACACCTGTTACCACTCTCCAGTCAGCTCAGTTCCCTCCCATACCTCATCACTAACTCTACAGTCAGTTTCCTAAAATCTCCACCTCAGCAGATCATTGTCTTTTGGTTTCCTTCATGATGTTTTCTGTTTCTCCTGTTGTAAGATTTGCTGCCAATGAAGCCTTTTATTTTGGTTAATTATGACAGTATTTTTAATTTTGCTTTCGAGTCCTCGTGACTGCATTCTGGGTCCTATCATGTCACTTGCTTCCCACAGTAAAAGAGAACTCAGACTAGTGTTAACAGTGTACATTATTTGATAAACATTTACTACAACTACGAATACAAGAATGTAAATATTAGGTCATTGTGTGTATATATACAGTATACAGTATATATATATATATAAAGTAAAAATAATTCATGAAACAGGCCTGGTCAGACATGATGGTACCCCTGAAAATAATGTGACTCAAGGGACATGTTAAATCAAGGTGTGTCCACTAATCATCATCACAGGTGTCTACAGTCTTGTAATCAGTCAGTGGACCTGTATATAGGGCTACAGATACTCACTCTGCTGTTTTTTGACATGGTGTGTACCACACTCAACATGGAGAGGAAGCAAAAGAAAGAGATGTCTCATGAAATTAGAAAGAAAATTATAGACAAACATGTTAAAGGTAAAGATTATGAAACCATCTCCAAGCAGCTTGATATCCATGTGACTACAGTAGCACATATTCAGATGGGACTGTAGCCGTATGAATGATGACAAAAGAGCCCAGAAAACTTCTAAAGAGATTAAAGGTGAACTTCAAGCTCAAGGAACATCAGTGTCAAGCCACGAAGCTTCAGGGAGAATGTCCTATGGACAGATGAGACAAAAATGGAACTTGAACATTTTCAGTGCTCGATTTTCACAGACAGAAGAATTAAATGAAATGAAAATTTTCTTTCATTAAATGATATCTAATTTTAAATTGTCAAACAGATGTTATTACATTAGAAGTTTTGGTAAAACATTACATTTACTGCTCCTTCGATGCAAGCTATATCCATTTTTTGTGTTAATTTTGGACCGTGGGCCGCATGCAAGAACATGCTCATATGCTTATCCTAAATTTCTCTTACTTTTGTTCATATGAAGGGTTCGTTTGAACATGCCACATCAGATCCAACAAACTCTTCTATTGTCAGGAAAAGTGTGTTAATGAGCTGCATAAACTTGATGAATTCCACCTGTTCGTATCAGGTGCTTGTGCACGAGGAGAGGAGATTAGCATAATTTCCACCCCAAAAGCACCATATAAGGCTATTTTTCCTGCCTCAGATATCAGGACATTCATGAAAATGACAGAGAAAAGTAAAAAGAACTTTACGAGTCCGGAGATTAAAGTCCTGCTCTCCAAGATCGAGAAAAGAAAATCTGTCATTTTTAGCAGCGTCAGCTGTGGAATTAAAGGAGCTGCTTAAAGGAATGAAATGTGTTGTTAATGTCGTGTCTCCTTTGGGTCGTATATACAGTCACAGAAATAAAAATCTAAATCATATTTATCTCTCTCTAGTCCTACTCCGGTTTTCCTTTGGTCAAATATTTTTAATACAAGCATTTAACCATTCATTTAACCATTTTATGTCGTTAGTGTGCGTTATTACATTTACAATTCTAATTCAAACAGAACAGCCTATTTTCAACATAATTATGGAGTGTGATTTATTTTCAACTCAAAATATCTTCAAACTAATGAAAGATAAAGTTATTAGTGAAGAAAATCCATCTGGATAACAACAGACTGACTGTTCGTAAAATATACAACAGGTCTGGACCACATGTGAATTTTGTTCGTATCTGAAGAAAATCTTGGAATACGAAAACATTGGTGAATGCCACAAATTCTCCTAAATCACTCGTATGCACAACAAATCTATTTGTACGAACGGTTCTTGCACGAGGCCCAATGTCTTAGTAGAATAGAGAAATAACAATAAGGCCAACATGAGCAAGTAGTCAGATTTCTCTAAATCTTTTTATTTATTTATTTTTGAACGGGTTTAAGTGAAAGAACGCACTGTGTGGCTTCAAGTGACATAAATGGTTGACTGATGGCTGATTGTTTTTTGTGTTAATACAAACCATAGAGCCACATGTGACCCCAGAGCCACAGGTAGCAGACCTCTGCTCCAGTTATTGACCCTTTATGACATCTGTGGCAAACCGTGTCTTTCACACTCGGTCCTTACCCCCACCACAACCATCATCCCACTCTCACAAACACAAAGGTCACAGTCACAAATTTACTAAGTTCAGCACTTCATGGTAGAATTCAATAGCTACAAGCAAAATAAATTAATAAATAAATAAAATAAAAAAAATAAATAAATAAATAAATAAATAAATAAATAAATAAATAAATACAGAATTTGCTGTGTTTTTTTAGAACATGGATGTCTACCAACATAGTTTTAGAATTAAGAGCGTAACAGTGTGTAAACGGTTAAAAAATAATGTACATACAATGGGTGCTTGATATGTGAACAAAATGGGTGTATTTTTACATTTTTTTACCAAAAATTTTCAGTTTACGAAATAATCTAGGAGGTTCTGCTGATTGAGTGTGTGGTTGTACTACTTGTGTTGTGTTTTGAAAATAAGGGCTCTGCTTTTAAAATGTATCCCTAAGCAACCATAAAACATTAAAAAAAATTATAAAGTAAAGAATATTAGGATTATTGAAAAATATTGATAATTAGAGACTCTGATCAGAGTGATTTGGTTTCCTCTTAAGACTGTCAAGGTCAGTGTGCTTTTGTTACTATTGTTTATAGTTTCTTGTGTTTTAGGATTAACCATATTGTATGTTTGTGATGTATTTAGCTTTGCTTATTTTTGCTTTTCCTCTATGTTCCTTTGTGCTGTCACTTTCCTCAGTCAGTACCCTGCTTTCTCAGTCAGCCTGCCACCGTCTGCATTTAGCTCAAGTGTATTCACTTCCCCATCATCCCAGTCCTATGTAGGGGTCCATATACAGTATGTTCCCTGGTGTTCTCCCAGGATTAATAATGAAAGTAATGGAAGATGCTTGGCTCTCTCTTCAAGTGTCTTAAAACAAATGAGAAAATAATGACAGTGCAGGAATTGTACAAGGAGTTGTACCAGAAAATATAAGGATGAACTCTTAAATAGTAAGTCAGCTCTTCTCATTCACCAGTTGTGCATTGCTGGCTTTCATGCCTCAGTCCTTTATCCTTTGTATTTCTTATAAGTCTCCTCAAGCTTCTTATGATTTATCCTTGAGTTCTGTAAGTTTTTTTTTTTTTCTGCCATGACAGCTCTTTGTATCCTCGTTATAAAAATACTTTGTTTTTGAGCTACTCCTGTTAAGTCTGATGTTCCTGGGCCCAAATCCTCCTGCCACTGTGAGAAAAACTGCTTAAATTAAAAAAAATCATGGTAATTCATGCAAAAAAAATATTTTAAATGTTTTTTAACTCATTATGTTCTCAAAACACAATTACTTACATAAAAAGCTGTGGGTTTTTCCAAACCCAAATGGCAGCAGTACCAGGCAGCACTTCCAGAGCAGCAAATCTTCCAAATCATTTTAGATGTATAAACTTGTAAGTCGGTTGGTGAACATGCTGATGCAGAATATTCAGTAATGTAGAGTTTTGTGCAGAGAGTTTGTGTATGTTCTTCCTGTGTAGTCCAGTCTTCACATCTTTGAGAATCATTGCTTTAGATGTATTCTTTGATGTACTCTGTGTTTAAATCAATGACATGGCCCCTCATGACATCTTTTGTTTGTTCATGTCTCTGTTCTGTTGACCAAGCTGGCTATTTTTCTGTCACAATGTTGCATCAGCCAGTAGCGCTGATTCAATAATAGTAAGACACATTTTCTTTCTGTGACTTATCTTTTTTTTAACCTTTGGTCCCTTTCAGTGTTACCGTTTATTTCTTTCTGACCTGGTTTCACTTTTGGGCCCCCCATGGTGTTGCTATTAGGACAATACTCCTGGTTATCCTTTTACCCCTGCTGAAATGACTACCATCACTCCTGCATATGTGGCACAGGCACAGAAAATTAAGTCCATCAACCATCTCTCTAATGAAGTTATATTGGTTTTTGCTTTCACTCTTGGGCTTTAAACTAACCCTTCACAATGTGCTGTATTAGAGAATGAACTATATAAGAACAATAAATATGCAAACTAAGCAAGTCAGTTATCATTTTAATAATTCCAATCATGGCTTTGTTTTTCCATAGGAAAAGCCTTTGAGATAACCTACATTCGACTGAAGTTTTACACCAGTCGGCCAGAAAGCTTTGCCATTTACAGACGTACTGAAGAGGACGGGCCTTGGTTACCTTATCAATACTACAGCGGCTCTTGTAAGAACACTTACCGGAAGGATGCTAAAGCCTACATCCGCCCAGGCAACGATGAAAGGACTGCCCTTTGTACAGATGAGTTTAGCGATATCTCACCCCTTACTGGAGGAAACGTGGCTTTCTCTACCCTGGAAGGCCGGCCCAGTGCGTACAACTTTGACCAAAGTCTGGCGCTGCAGGTGAGCAAAGCTTTTTGTTTTGTGTTTACTCTGCAAAGGGTTTTTTGTGTTATCCCCACACACAAATTTATTTGAGTGATTTTTCAGAATTTACAAGGAACAAGAAGTTCTCATTTGTTTTGACTGTGTTGCTGCAGATTGTGAATTTACTTCAACACTTCAAATCCTGATTTTATCATTAGAACTTCTCTGCACTTCTTCTAGCCAAACATGTATATCTTATCTTATATATATATTAAAAAGCAGATGAAGGAAATTTAATGATGTGTTTAGCTGTGATTAACATTGATGAAGTCTTGAAAGTGCTGTGCTGAATTAATGGTCATCTCTTGAGGGTTAGTCAGAGAGAGGTGGGCACAGTAAGACTTGGCTAAAACTAACTAAATAAAGCCCTTAATGTAACCACTCCCTTTTATTGACAGGGCTGTAAATGTGTGTGCATGTGTCTGTGCATTTAAAGCATACAGTGTTTGTACTTTAAAAAAGGGAAAGCTTATTTCTTTGGTATTTACTTGCAGTTTTTGATGCACAATCATGTTTGCATTGGTTTGCTGTAAAGTAAAATGATTGTGTACAAGACTATAAAAAAATCGTATTTGTTTTACAAAAAAATACTATTAAAATGTATTAGGCTGGAAGATCTGCAGATCAGGTTCTTCCTAGCCTGGCCCTTGCCTTCCTACGCAGCTCCACAAAATTCTAGTTTCCCTTCACTGCTCCGTCTTCTCCCATTGAGATGGATTTTGCTGGCAGATTTTTAGCTGGGCCAATCAGAGAACAGAAGGAGGAGTTTTGAATGACGTTGATGTTCTGCGCAGTGTCTGCTAGTTAGTTTAGCATACGGCAGTGGAGGAAGTGAATGAAGCCAGTCCGTGTTGATAAGGCTTCCAAATTTAAATCAAATTTGTCTGACAAAGCAGCAGCTCTCATTTACAGTCGTCTCGTTTGGCTCAGTAGGGTTGTTTACAGCACACACGATTTCTGGTTAGCTTATTAGCTTAGCCTCCTTCACACTGACATACGTTGCAGCCAATTGATCCAATCATTTTAAACTTCAGCAGAGGCCACGCCTCCTGCAAGAAATCGATTTTCTATGCAGCAAGTCCAGACCCTTGTACGAAGCAAAGTGAAGGACAAGGTCTGGTTTAAACCAGGCTAGGTTCATCCATAAATATGCTAAATATTGAAATATATTATAAAAAATACATAATAATTGGGCATCTGCAAATAAATTGGAAAACAGCATGCTGAGCCAACAAATTCTCAGTGAAATGCAGAAACCTATGACATATTCCACTGTGACAGTTTTTGATGTTTCTGCAACATCTGTGTGAGCTGGAGGGAAAAAAAGTCCCATTTGAGCTAAAAAAGTGATGTGAAACCTGGGGGCTTCAGAAATCAGTTTTCAAGGTGAACTGGCAGCAGTGGAAAGAAGAAGGAGAGAACCCAGAGGGTGCTGAAAGAAATACCCAGAGCTTCTGGAGTTAGGAGTCGAGTCAGAGGCTGAGCTGAGCTGAACTGAAACCCAAATTCCTGCACACCTTATATGTATGCAGAATATGTTTGTCAAGTTCATTCATATTTACCACCTAGTTAATTCAGGCTATTTCTCGTAGTGTACCCATGCCAGTCATGTCAGAAACTTATTTTTTATAACAAGGGAACTTTTTGGTTCTTCAGTCTCTTGTTCAGCTCTGTAGATTAAATGAAGCTCCTACATGCCTACAAATATACTTCTTGCTCGCAGGTGAACAAATGACATAAATAAATAAAAGGTTTTTAAAGTAAAAAAAAAAAACATGACTACACTTGATATTTTTAATGAGCTTTCTTGAAGTTGGCAGCTGGCCACTTAAATTGCACATAGGCAAAATAAGGCCCTTGAGCCATCTCAATCCTGCACCTGACATGCTCATTCAGAAACAGAACAGCTTGAAATAACTTTTAAAAACAGGATTTTAGCAATGACTTTTGAGAACAGTTGAAACATCTATGCTGCATTTTCTTTTAACCAATTTATACGAGAGCACCATTAGTCAAATAATGAAGTCTAATTTAGACAACATTTTAATATTAATTTGTTCTGATAAAAATTAACAAAAAAATATAGATTTTTGTCCAAGAGTTCATGTTCAAATTACCTGTCACCAGCGTTATTTCAGAGTCTCCATGTTGCATATTGATGCATCTTGACAAAAACCTTATGCTAAACTTATCAAGACAAAGTCTTGAAAGGGAATTCTGACATTTAAGAGTGTTTATACAAAGTACTCAACAATTTATAAAAAAAATGTAACAACTGTTAGCTTCATATTGGCATGCAAAAAGAAGGCAATATTTATGTGTATTTTTGCAGATGATGCAATGTCTATATGCATGTATCCTTATATGTCTGGCTGTGTCTCAATTCATGGGCTGGGCCACGTGGGACACATCCTCCCTGGGCCGGGTAGGCTGCTCAAAACTTATGTGACATGTGTCGGTCTACCCTTCGTCTGACGTCGGCTTTACGTGAGTTTGCGTGACCACGTGTTCCCCCGTTAACATAGTGATCAGTTTCATATCAGACTTAAAATGCGTCTGGACGTGTATTTATACGTCTTTTTACTGGAAGAATAACTTCACAGTTAAAATGTTACACGTAAGTAAAAAAAAATAATAATAAAAACATTAATAATTCAGTTTTAGCTCAATATTTACAATGGAGTATTAGGGCCACACAAGATTTTTTTTTTAATTACGGCAATAAAATCATAATATTATGAGAATAAAGTCATATTATTATGAGAAAATAAGTCATAATTTTACATGACATGTCCATTTTCTGTTCCTCATTTCCTCATTTTCCTCACACCTTCTGTAGCCATGTGTCTGTGTTTATAAAGTAGTCCGTGATGACTTGGGTCACTGTTAGATTAATATGCTTTCATCCAAATTAGCTTTGTGATGATTAAATCTGTCAATGCATCCATTAATTACAATACAGCTTCAGTTTATCATACAGTCGTTTGCACAATATCCAAGTCCTGCTACTGATATAATTTGATGCCGATGTGCTAAAAGATGAACTATTTATTTTAAGCAATACTAAAGAACAACTTGACAAGTTGCTCAACATTCCTCATTTTAATGCAGTGATAAGCATGCTTTTCCATGTAAAGACTAGAGTATTATGACATTTTACTTGTAATGTGACATTAATTTTATAATATTACGATTTTATTATCATAATATTATGACTTCATTTTTATACAACTTTAATGTAATAGTATGACTTTATTCTCGTAACCTGTAGTTGCATTTTTTTAAATTTAACATCTTATTGCAGCATAAATTTCATCAGCTAAGTTGCTAAGCTTACTTTTAAAAACAAATTCTTCAGTCTGTGGTGATTTTCTAAACTACGCAGACTCATTAAAAAAATAAAAACTTCACCGTCTTCATTTCTCTGTTTATTTTGCTGCCTGCGCATTGAATTCTGGGAAACCCTCGTCCGGTGAGGATACACGGATGCATCCTCAGATTTCGAGAGTTTGTCGGCCACATTCCTCGACCGCATGATGAGGAGCCTTTGCGCGGGGCAGTGACGTATGCGGCCGACAAATGCACAATCATGAGGACCTAGCCCCTGAATTGAGACACAGCCCCTATGTTTCAGGGCTCTTCATTCTCAATAGCAAAGTCAAAATGACCCCCCCCCCTCCAAAAAAAAAAAAAAAAAAAGTTGCCCATCTCCCTGTTTGAAGTAACAAGGAGGTAAAAGCTGAATCTTTGGACAACAACAAACATTTTATCCTCCATTAAAGAAGTCTTGATTAGTGCTTTAATGATATTTGTTGATCAGCTGAATCAGTTTGTTTTTGTCTGAACAAAGTGGAGGAGTGTTGAATGTTATCTAAATTGGATAATGCACTGATTAGGTACATGAAATAATCTCATAAATCTGCTCTTCATTTTTTTTTTCAAATATCGCTCCCACATTCCAGCAGCACTTTTACAATGTTTCCTTATTCAAACATTTTTTTGAACATTTACCAACAAAATATATCAACAACAACAAAAAAGAAAGACCTTCTACAAAGTGAAAAAATAATCTATGTGTGAGTGTTTAGTCCCAATCGAAGAAAAAAATGCAATGATGGTTATCAATTAAAAAATAATATTTCTAGTGACCCTCATTGAACCAATGGTTAACTGTTTTTTTTTAGAACACTGGATGGTTTAAATTAGTCTAAGCCATGTCCACTTATATTCTTTGGCATTTCCAGACACAAGGTTAGAAGTTAATGATTCTATCTGTTTAGATCATGTCAGATTACTGTAAGTAATTAACAGCTAGTTACAAACATCTGTAGAAGCAACCAGCCAAAATAGTGTCATGCACAAGTCTTTTTTGGCTCATTTTTACAAAGGATTAACTATAAAAATGTTGTTTTAGGAGACATAACAATGAAGCAAATACATTTTTAACTTACCTCCGCATTCTGCACAAGTTGATGTCTAGGCTTTTTTCTAAGCTGTGAGATTTTTCTCTTTGGGCATTGACAGCTTACATCATGCTTCATGAAGCAGTTCTCTTCATTTTACTTGGCATCAATATGGCCAAGAATTCCATTCCATTCATTATTTAAGTTAGCTGACGTACAAATTTTAACATGGACAACAGTACTTAAATGGATACAAATACACAAAAATAGACAGGAAAAGAGGGTACAGCATTCCACTTTTTTAAACAAAAATGTTTTATGTTTGATCTCTCAACCCCTTTTAGTTCAATTGCATTGTATAGATAGGATAAAACTGCTTGCTCATAATGTTAGCCGACTGTCTGAAGATGACCAAGAGGATGAGAAGTGGTTTGCTCCATTGTTCTGCTTATTCAGAAACATAATGCTTCTGTGCTTTTAAATATAAACCCTAAACTCCATAAGAAATAATAAAAATAAAGTAGAAAAAACACCTTTCAAAAGCAAACTTTGTTGTGAAAAAGGAAGCTTGCT